TTTACCTCAGCCTCCCAAAGGCGCGGGATTACAGGCTGAGCCACCGAGCCCGGCTAGAATCACGAGATTTTAATCACTCTGCTTTTGGCTGTGCGTGATGGCTCACGCCTGTAATCCCAGCACTTGGGGAGGCGGCAACGAGAGGAGGGGGAGTTGGAGACCTGGGCAATCGGGTGAGCCCTCGTCCCTACAGTGAATAATAATTTAAAAAATTATCCGGGCATGGTGGCACCTGCCTGTAGTTTCAGCAACTTGGAAGGATGAGGAGGAAGGATTGCCTGAGCCCAGCAGGTCGAGCCTTGCGGTGGCTGTGAGTGTGCCACCTCGCTCCAACCTGGGTAACAGAGTGAGTCTCCGACTAAAAAAAATAAAAAATAAAAATGCATACATCACTCTGCTTTCTTGTTCTACGGGAGACATGCTCTCCTTGCTAAATATTCTCCCTCAGCCCTGGATTAATTCTTTTGCACTGAAATGTGACTCTTAGTGTGTTAGCAGTTTGGAATGTATAGGATGAAAGGGAAACTACTAGTAGGGCCTTCTAGGACTTCTAGGTGATATAAACTGGCTAACGTTTCTTTATTTTAAATAGACTTGTAAATCAACAAATATTTCTCAAGTGCCCGTAGTGTACAAGTACTCGGGGAATGCACTTTCACAGTGAAAAGGGAGGAGAGATATTTGACTGATAAACCAGTTCCTTTTATGGTGTGGGTGAGAGCAGGTAAGATAATCTTTAAGGTAGACAAATGGAGGGGTTCATATTTGTTTTAGCAAGCCTCAAAACCTCCATCGGTAACAATTCTTTGCACATCCTGGAGTAGGGGCTAAGACGTGCCCTGGAATCTTTCCTTTTTGATGCGGATTTTCCAATTATGTCAGGCTGAAGGCGGTCCTTGAAGAGTCTTTGCTACTTGAGTGGAGGCCGAGACACTGGGAGGCCTGAAAGCTTCCTCCGCAGTTCGGAGTTTCTTGCGGATCCGATCACAAAGCTAGGTGACGACCGCTCACTCCGAGACCTCGGCAGGCTCCTACGGAGGAGCCGGAGCGCGCCTGCGTGTCGGCACCCCTTTGTTGCTCGAGCGGTAACGTCTGGCTGCGCCTGCGCAGTGGGCGGGAGCCGACAAGTGCGCTGCACCCCCGGCACCGGCTGGGGGCGAGCAGACCTCGGGCCGCCGCCGCCGCCGCCGCCGCCGCAGCCGTTGCGACCGCTGCAGCGGCGTTCAGAGGGCCCGGAGGTGGGAGACTTCCCGCACGGTGACTGAGATGTCGTCCACTGCGGCGTTTTACCTTCTCTCTACCCTGGGAGGCTACTTGGTGACCTCATTCTTGTTGCTTAAATACCCGACCCTGCTGCACCAGAGAAAGAAGCAGCGATTCCTCAGTAAACACATCTCTCACCGCGGAGGTGAGAGGGGTCCCCGGAACCCGATGGCGGGGGTGGGGGGAGGCTTTTCTTGCGAGGAGAGCTGTGGGTCCTTGGGAGCCCCGCACCAGGCAGCCGGATGGGGTTACTCGAGAGTTTGGGGAAGAATGGGGCGGTGTGAATAGAGGGCTGCTCCGGAGGCGGAGGCGGTGAGAAGGGAGGTCTCCCGAGGGGAGGGAAGGAATGGGGTCTCGAGCCAGAGCCACGGCGGGCCTCTCTCCAGGGCAGCAGTGTCGGGGCGTCATGAAGGCGCAAAGACCCGGGAGGGAATGAAACGTAGGTGGAGCGTTTCTCGGCGGGTGAAGGATGTTCGCAAGGTCCCTTCCTGGCAACAAGGCTCGAGGGGGGAGAGCCGAGGACACCCGGCGGGGGGTACCGGGAACAGACCGCTGGAGGCAGCGGGTGGCTGAGCGGATGGGGAGAGCCTGGGACCAGCAGGCTGAGGGTCTGCGCCAACCCGGAGCCCGATGCAGCCCCGTGTGTGCATCGGTGCCTGGGGGCCGCTGCCACCCCCACGCTCCGAGCACTCACAATTGAGAGGGAAACCGAGTCCCTTATAACCGGGGACATTTCCCAAGGTCACAGTTAGGGCTGGGGCTGAACTGGAGCAGGAGCTGGAACGTCCTGGCTCCCAGGGCTGCAAACCTTGCACCTGTTTTTTAGAGCACCACCCTGCACCCCATCAAAGACACATGGATTTCCAAAAGACTAAAGATGATTTAGTTTATGACGGGACAGTATTGATTAAAGAAAACAAAGATAAGTTTCTTTTGGAAAAGTGTTTTACTAAAAGGAGACCAGGTAGTCCACCTTCCAGATTCTCAGATAACCGACCAAATCTTCGCCACTTCATTATTGTATAATAATGTGTCTTCATTGCATTTCAAGCATGATTTTTACAGTGTTGTGAAATTGGATTATTTCAACCAATTTTAACAGTTCTTTAAGGAGGAATGTTAAGCCAGGTTAAAATTACTTGGAATTTACATTCTAATACAGACATACTGTCTGAAACTTGATTTAGGACCATAACCTCTTTTCTAACAAGTATTGGGCAAGGAATAAGATTTTTTTTTTTTGAGTTGGAGTCTCACTCTGTCGCCCAGACTGGAGTGCAGTGGCCGCTCCCGGCCACCGCAGCCTCGACCTGCTGGGCTCCGGCGACCCTTCCGCCTCAGCCTTCCGAGTAGCTGGAACTAGAGGCACGCGCTACTGCGCCCGGCTAATTTTTTATTTATTGTAGAGATGAGGTCTCGCCAAGTTGCCCAGGCGGGTCTCAAATCCGTAGGCTCAGGCAATCCACTCACCTCGGCCTCTCAAAGCGCTGGGATTACAGGCTGAGCCACCGAGCCTGGCCCACCTCAGTTTTTCAAGTAGCTGGAACCACAGGCCCACGCCACTATGCCCAGCTAATTTTTTTCATTTATTGTAGAGATGAGATCTCACCAAGTAGCCCAGGCTGGTCTTGAACCCCTGGAGTCCTCTCACCTCTGCCTCTCCAAGTGCTGGGATTACAGGCGTGAGACACCACGCCTGGCCTATCATTCTTCTGTGTAATTTGTATAATTGTATCAGTTAAACATAGTTCTAATAAGTGACTTCAGTAATGTTCTAGTTTCCAACTCATGAAAAGCAGCAAAGGTTTTAAAGGGTCGTCAGCTACATGTCATGTCATTGCTTATTTGGTTTATCTGTTTTAATAGATTCATGGTTAAATTGTAGGATGACATGTAACTACTAATGTGCTTTCAACCATTGGAACCAGGGACTGACTTTTAGTATTCTTCTTGCCATAGAAGTAATTTTCAATGACAGTAGTCCTATTCTGGAGATAGGCAGTATACACTACAGTTGTGTTCACTGATTTACAAAAACAAAAGTGTGCTTATGAGAAACTTCAAACCAAACAAAACTGGATCCTCTAAAAAGCTATCTAAAATGTCATTGTGAACGATCAAAATTTTATTTATTGAAATTTATTTTAGAATAAATTTGTTAATCTTTGAAATTTACAACACTTTACAGCCAAAAAAAGCCAGCACTCCATGGGGTTAAAAAATATGTGCTAGATCATCAGAGCAAATATCAAAGTCGGGATAAGCTAGATCTCAAATTCTTATTTACTGTTGGAGATACTTTTTAAAATATTTTCACATAGACATTAAGTCATTTCAGTATCACTCTTTTTTTTTGTTTTGTTTTGTTTTGTTTTGTTTTGTTTTGTTTTTGAGTTGGAGTCTCACTCTGTTGCCCAGACTGGAGTGCAGTGGCACGCTCCCAGCCATCGCAGCCTCGATCTGCTGGGCTCCGGCGATCCTTCCATCTCAGCCTTCCAAGTAGCTGGAACTACAGGCACGCGCTACCACACCTGGCTAGTTTTTTATTTTTATTGTAGAGATGAGGTCTTGCCAAGTTGCCCAGACGTGTTTCAAACCTGCGAACTCAGGCAATTCACTTGCCTCGGCCTCCCAAAGTGCTGGGATTACAGGCTGAGCCACCAAGCCCTGCCTCTTCGTATGCTTTTGTTGAGTAAGTGCAGCAAATAATACAGTTGAATCCAGAGTGATAGAGGAGATAAAGCACTTTGTAACTCAAGATACAAAGTCTCTGGAAAATAAGAGATAGGTAACTAGGAAGGATTGCTTGATTGCTTTTCATTTTTGTCTTGGACACTGATAATAACCACTGGTCTTTCTGTGCAGATTGGTAGTATTTAGGCTTATTCTCTATTGCCCTAACTACAAATACCTAATATTTCTTGTTTGTTTGTTTTTTTGAGTTGGAGTCTCACTGCATTGCCCAGGCTGGAGTGCAGTGACACACTCACAGGCACCCCAGTGACGACCTGCTGGGCTCTGGTGATCCTTCCGCCTCAGCCTTCCAAGTAGCCGGAACAACTGGTGCACGCTACCATGCCTGGCCAATTTTTGATTTATTGTAGAGACAAGATCTTGTAAAGTTGCCTGGGCTGGTCTTGAACCCACGGGCTCAGGCAATCCATTCACCTTGGTCTCCCAAAGTGCCGGGATTATAGGTGGAGCCACCAAACCTGGCCTATATTTCTTGTAAATTAGATATGTGACCATTGAAACATTGATCATTGTATGTGTATAAAGTATACGCACCATTGGTGCAATTGGTATTACTTGAAACTCTTATTGTCTTATTTCTACTTAGTGTGACTACTACAAAAGCATTGTGATAAAGATTTAAATCACCTGAGTCACATTCTGGATTTTACCAGTAATTAGCCTTGAGAATAAGCCTTACCGCACTTATCTATAAATTGGAGACCGTTTGCCTTGCTTACATCTTTGGGTTGTTGTGACGATCTGGTATATAAAAAGCTCTGAAAAATGTGGATGCCAGGTGTGGTGGCTCATGCTTGTAATTCCAGCACTTTGGGAGGCCGAGGCCAGAGGATTGCTTGAGCCCAGGAGTTTGAGACCAGCCTAGGCAACATAACGAGATCTTGTCTTTACAAAAAATAAAAAAATTAGCCAGGTATGGTGGTATGTACCCATAGTTCCTGCTACTCAGGAGGCTGAGGCAGAAGTATCTATTGAGCCTAGGAGGTTAAGACTGTGGTAAGCCATGATCGTATCACTGTACTCCAACCTGGTCCACAGAGTGAGACACCAACTCAAAACAAAAAAAGAAGGAAAGAAAGAAAGAAAAGAAAAGTATGAAATTGTTTGAAACAAGTGTAGATACAGGGGACCCACAGTTGTATTTTGCAATACAACTTTGAGTTCATTGAAAAGAATAAGATCCCTCTATACTTACGTTTTCTTTTTTTTTTTTTTTTTGAGTTGGAGTCTCACTCTGTCGCCCACACTGGAGTGCAGTGGCCGCTCC